TTTCAGGTTAGAAAATGGCCAAAGGTTAGCTGGAGTCTTAAAAATATACAAAAACTGTAACAAAACAGTATTAGAAACCAGTTACATGACTAAGGATTACCAGATCTAAATGTCAGTGCTACTTGTGACAAATTAACCCTAAAAGTTCACCTGCCAAAGTATTAGCAAAAACCAAGGCTGGCATTTTGGAACATAACCAAACTCTTGGTACAATGTGCTTTATCACAGTAAATTACAGTTTAAACACACAGCTGCAGTTAGACAAGGATAGCTAAACACTTTCCACAACACTAAATGTAGCCCAGTAAACGCTGAACGTAAGTCATAAATACAGTATATACAAGTCAGAAGTGAGGACTATTGAACCAAGTTGGTCTTCAGTTCAAAGTTGTACTGCAGTGACTGTAAGGAAAAACCCTGGATTGTTTCTGGAATCGTAATGAACAGACTGCAGCCAAGTTAGCAGAAAGTTTTGTCCTCCACATAGTGATGTCGTTTTTGTTCTCTCCTCAAGTTATAGCTGCAAAGCCACTTGGCTTTACTTCTGACAGCAGCGTCCATGAGAATGTGCTCAGACGTCCCCTTCTTCAGTCTAATCCTGATGTTGAAACCTGAAGTTTTGAGCTGAACCTGGAGCAGCTGTGCTTCTCTTGAGTCAGCAGCATTTCCTGAGTGACTTGGACTTTTTTGACAGACTATTTACAAAGTGAGGTAAGACCTCGCTCCTTTTTTTTTTTCCTCTCCACATTTCTGTCTGTTCTTTTTGCCTGAGTCTTGTTGCAGACTTCAGCAAAGCCCCACTGTAATTAGGGTTCAAGAGCCGCTGAGTTGCAGATTCTTTTCTGTGGCGATGGGAGTTTTCTTTTTTCTTCCCACACATTTGACCCAAAAGTTTCGGGCCTTTATTATATCAGAGGACGGAGAGCCGACCACAACACTCACAAGAGTGGTGAAGAAAAAATAACGTGACACAATCCACTCCAGTTTTTTTTCTCCTTCTGACAACTAGACCTTCAGACTGAATCTGAGAGCAGGTCTGCAGCCACACTCAGAAATCCAACTCTTTATTCTTTCTCCAGACTCACCATCATTTCACATCCTGCTTCTTTCTGCAAATCTCTTTCTCCTCCTCCCATCCTGCCCCTCTGTCTCTCCCCTTCCTCCCTTCCCCTCAGCCTTGTTTTGGTTTTATGGTAAACGAGAACCAGATGTGGGTTATTATTGTGCAGGAGTCAGCAACGGACGGGAGGGGAGGGGGTGGGGGGGGTGGAAAGGACGGGAGGCGGATGTTTTAGGGGTGGGGAAGACTAAGGTGCGGGTGTAAGGTGAGGTCAGTTTGTCAGGAAAGAAAGGGAAAGTGTGGAGAGGAGTGAGGGGTGAGACAGACGTGGTTTGTCTTTTTTGTAAGGATCGGCTGAAAGAAGCTGCTGCTGCAGTTTTTTTACCAACAGAACAGGGACAGAGGAAAGGAGGGGCTGGGGGGGGGGGGGGGGGGGCTCCGGGGGGGGGGGGGGGGAGC